AGGTCCACACCGTTTTTAATTCATTTCTGCGGATGAATTTTCAGTTGTGCCAGAGTCACGTGCTGAAAAGACTTCCCTTTCTCCACCGAACAGACTGTACTTTCTGTACTAAATGACGCCTTTACTGGCAGTCAGCACCCAGATGCGTGTGGGTCTGTTTCTGGACTGTTCTGTTCCCTTGCTCTCTCCGTCTCCGGGACAATGCCACGCTGTCGCGACCAGGGCAGCGGATGTACCCCGTGTCTTGTCTCGGCGTGTCAGACCTCCAACTTGGCTCTTCTGTTTTGAAGTTGTTGGGGCGGCTCTAGGTGCACTTTTCTGTGTGGAATAGAGCAGCTGCTTGTGCAGGCCCACGCAGCCGCCCGCGGAGGCGTTGAATGGGACACCCGGGTCTGCACATCGTCGTTGGGAAAGCGCGCGGTTCCGCCGCTGAGCGCGGTGCTGGCTGTCAGGGCCTTCTGCCCACGGCGCTGGCCCGACGGGCTGGGATCCTGGGATTCCGGATCTTCAGTGCCCGGGAGACGGCGTGCGGTGTCTTCTCACCTGTCCCCTTCCCAGTGAGGAATCCAGGGTCACCGAGGCTTGGTTCTGTGTGTGTAGCATCTTTTCCTCTTACTACATGGGAAGTGTTCTCTTCTTACTGGTTTCTAGCAGTTTTATCATGCTGTGATTTGTGCAACTTTCTGCATGTTCCCTGTGCTTTGGGTCCATTCAATTTCTTGGACCTTGAGTTTGCTGTTGGTCATTAAATTGGACAAAAGCTGGACATAACTCCTTCAAAGATTTTTTTCTGTCCCCTTCCTTCTTTCAGGTCTTAAGTGATAAGCCCCTTTGACATTATTTCTTTTTATATTTATTATTTATTTTTGAGAGAGAGAGAGCGAGCAAGCAACCAAGGGAAGGGCAGAGAGAGGGAGAGAATCCAAAGCAGACTTTGTGCTGAGAGCCCGATGCGGGGCTCGAACCCACGAACTGTGAGACTGTGACCTGAGCCGAAGTCGGACGCTTCACCGACTGAGCCCCCAGGCGCCCCCCCCCTTGACATGCTGAAGCCTGACACTCGGCGATGAGCTGTTTTGTTACAGTTTCGTTCCCACCCTCACTGGAGAGTTTTGCTTTGTCTTCAAGTTTGTTGTTCTTTTCTAATGAAATGTCTCATCTGGGCTTAATCTCATCCAGTGGCTTCTGTTTCCTTTCAGACACTGTAATTCTCCTAGATCAGCGTGGGCCCTTTTTCTTTGTGTTCTCAGCTAACTTTGGGGACACGTGGGAGTCTGTTGTGAGGACCATCTCCACGTCCCCCAGTGGCCACTGCACCACCTGCATCAGGTCGGCCTGAGTTCTCTTTTTATCATGTGTCATCTTAATTCTTTGCAAGCCTGGTGATTTTATTAAACGTCTGATATTACGAATCTCGCCTTTCTGGGAGCTGAATATTTTCGCACTCCTACAAGTCTTTTTGTGCTTTGTTTTGTAATGCAGTTTGGTTACTTGGAAACCGTCTGATCCTTTTGGATCCTGCTTTTTAAAGATGTCAGGGGGGTCGGAGCTGAGTTTAGTCTGGCGCCGGCCACCCCCACCACCGCAGCAGGACACGGCTGGGCGCTCTGCCCGCTGCCCCGTGAACAGAACTGAGCTCGGGCCGCCGCTGCCTCCACTGTGTGCGGCGCCTCCTTGCTGGTCTTGCAGGCAGGTGTCCTCCCCGGGCCTCCCCGGACCCACACGGTTCTCCCCGGGCGGCTCTCTGGCCTCCGGCTCAGGGCGTCTCGCTTCTACTGCCCCCGTCCCCTGGACTCTCAGCCCTTCCCTCACTCGGGGAGTCTCCTGGGTCCTGCCTGGCTGCCCTCCCCTGGGCCGGGACCTGAACGTCGCCCTGGCAGCGAGCCGGGTGGCCAGAGCTGTCGCCCTGCCCGTGTCTCTCCCTTCGGGGCTGCTTTGCTGCCTGGTGGCCGTGTCTTGGGAGCTATTGTCTTGCTTTTCCCCTCACTGCTGCTGTTGCTTGAGGGAGGCCAATTCGTTCCTGTCACTGCACGTTGGCTGGAGTCGGAGGCCCCGCAGCCACTTGCTGAGGCACACTCTGTTCAGCACGGTTCTGGGCACTGGGGACTCCGCCAAGGCTAGGAGACCCACCCCCACCCTAGGGCGGCTGACGTCCCGCCGGCCAGGCAGGGTGGGGGTGGGTCCCAGCAACTGCAGGAGGTCAGAGCCCTGGCCCCTCCTAATAGCAGACACCCACCGAGCGCTAACTATTGCGACTGCCCGTTTGTTCATAAGCTTATTGAATCACCAGAAAGGGGCTTTCCTACCCAGAAAGCCTTTATTTTTTATTTTTATTTATTTATTTATTTATTTATTTTTAAATGTTTTTATTTTATTTCTAGGAGAGAGAGAGACAGCATGAGCAGGGGAGGGTCAGAGAGAGAGGGAGTCACAGACTGAAACAGGCTCCAGGCTCTAAGCTGGCAGTCAGCACAGAGCCTGATGCGGGGCTCGAACCCACGAACCGCGAGATCATGACCTAAGCGAAAGTCGGACGCTTAACCGACTAAGCCACCCAGGTGCCCCCCAGAAAGCCTTTAAAATAATTCACAGCAGCACCACCCAACGCACCTGACGTTGGTTGAATTTTATTTTTACTTTTTGTGTTGTGAGTCAGAATTTCCTTCAGGGTTTAGTGTGTTGACTTTTGCATTAGAAAGGTGATGCTTCCCACCTGTGGTGATCTTCCATAGCTGCTCCTTTTGTTTTTAATTTTTTTTTTTTTTGTTTTTTTTTTTTTGAGAGAGAGAGAGAGAAACCATGTGAGCAGGGGAGGAGCAGAGAGAGAGAAGGAGACACAGAATCCAAAGTAGTCTCCAGGTTCTGAGCTGTCAGCACAGAGCCTGACACGGGGCTCGAACTCATGAACTGTGAGACCATGGGCTGAGCTGAAGTCAGATGCTTTTTTTTTTTTTTTAATTTTTTTTTTTAATGTTTTATTTATTTCTAGGAGAGAGATAGAGACAGCATGAGCAGGGGAGGGTCAGAGAGAGAGGGAGTCACAGACTGAAACAGGCTCCAGGCTCTTAGCTGGCAGTCAGCACAGAGCCCGACGCGGGGCTCGAACCCACGAACCGCGAGATCATGACCCAAGCGAAAGTCGGACGCTTAACCGACTAAGCCACCCAGGCGCCCCTGAAGTCAGATGCTTAACTGACTGAGCCCCCCAGACGCCCCTCTGCTTCCTCATAGAAATGAAACTCAGGGCTTAGACTGTGGAAAGGAGGATGTTGACATACAAAATTTCCAGGGGTGAGAGTGCCGACTGGACTAGTGCAGTCTTTCCGGAAAGCAGTTCAGTGAGTTGTGATCAGAGCCTGTGAATGCACTTCATGCTCTTGACTTCGTGGTTCCACTCTTGGAAACGAGCGGATCCTGGGGAACTAACCAAACACTCAGAGTGCGGAGCGCCACTGTGTGCTTGCGCTGTTTGCGGTGGTGGAGAAGTGGAGACGCGGTCCGTGTCGGGGGGTTAGCGGGATGGCCCGTGTGCTGGGACCGTACGCGGCTGTCCGTCACAGGCGGGGCTTGCGGAGACAGGTAAGCGTGTGACCGCGACAGCGGCAGAATACAAGACGGAAGACAAACGGGCAGTGTCTCCCCCGAGGACACTTTCCCTGTTTCTGTGCTTTCCACTGTTTCCAACTTTCCTGTGGTAAACGTGCCTTAATTTTATCTTTAACAAAACAAGAAAAAACTAAACTTCCAATGTTCCTATAATTCTAGACAGTAAATGGTAGATGTGTAATGAACAGGATACTTTTAAGAAAAGAATGGAATGTGATTTAAGAAGCAATAAAATGAGCATGTTTCCTGTATATTTGCAAAGAGTTCAAAACAGTTTCTCATCCTTTGTGTTTTGAACATGAGGAAATTAAGAAAAATAATTTTCAAGAGTCTTGAAAACGAAAGTTACCACGTATTAAGACTTGCCGTGGGCCAAACGGAGCCAAGGGTTTTACAGACTCCAGCTCACACAGCCCTCCGACAATCTCCTTTTCTAGGCTGCCTGGAGGGTCAGAGAAGTTAAGCCGCCCTCCGGGGTCACACAGCGTGAGGGGCGGAGTCAGGGTCTCCACCTCCTGGGAGGAAGGGGGCACCTCTTACCTCTTCCTCGCTGGCTGACTTCCTGTCGCCATGACCTGTGATCTGCTGGTTCGAGAGGAGTCAAAGGCGATGCTTGAGCTGCTCTGTCTACCAAGCAGTGACGCGAGGTTGAGAGAAGATGGTGGCTCTGCCCCCAGGCCTGCTTCCTGAGGTCACTCGTGCTGCGGGGAGGCCCTCGAACAGGACAGGCCTTGGAGTCCTCGGTGGCGGGTTTGAGGAGGCTGCTTTCACATCCTGTCCCTCGGAGGCCTTCCTCCCGACAGCAGACCTTGTCCGTGCTGTGAACAGACGCAGGGGGACACGGGCTCGTAAGGCTCGCTGGCGGTGCAGACGGAGCTCTCTGTGTGCCTGTCCACCTCGCCGGGCCCCTTCCCCAGCTCTGTCGTCGCAAGTGCATGTCCGGGTGTTCTGAGAGACGGGTTCGGGGACCGCCCTCGGGGGCTCGGCTGCGGGGAGCCGGGTGCGGGTCAGCAGGGAGACGAAGGCGTGCGGTCAGCAGCCGGTGCGGAGGGCAAGGAAGATCTGCGTGGTGACGCGGGAGGCTCCCCCCGGCCTCCGGGGAGCAGAGGAAATCACAGCGTAACGTGCGCGGCGCTGCCCGCGCTCTGGCCACACGTGCCTCCGTGAGTGTGAGGAACGGGCATGGGGAAGGGGGCAGGACTTCCACTCCGGGTGCTTCCGGAGCCTGTGAACTCTGTAGCAGTTGCAGGGAAGCAGGGGTGTGTTACGGTGTCACCCTGGTGTCACCCTGGTGACCTCAAGGGAAAGTGCACCGTCTGCTTCTGGTTTCAGGCGGCACCGGACAGCCGCCCGCGGGGCTGTGTCCTAACACACCCCCTCCGTCTCTGTTTCAGGACAACGTGCTGAACATCATCAACCAGATCATGGATGTGTGCATCCCCCAGGACCGAGCCCCGCGGGATTTCTGCGTCAAGTTCCCTGAGGAGGTCCGGCATGACAGCCTGGCAGGCCAGCTGTGGTTCGGTGCCGAGGTAGCGGGCAGCCGCCTGGGCCCAGGGTCACGGTGCGGGGTACTGGGCAGCACCCGCGGGGGCAGGGCCTGCTGTCTCCCCTTCAAGAGCCCCATCTGCCACTGGTTACGGACGGCGCGTTCTGACGAGGCCGCACGCCCCCGTGAGGTCTGCGAGGGCCACGAACCTGGGCCCCCCAGATCTATACAAGCCAGTATGGACACGCAGCTTCCTGTGCAGTTTCTATGAGGTTCCCAGGCCCCAGATGCGAAGGGTCTACAGGTGGCTATTACCGGCAATAATCCTAAATTAGGAGCAGCGTTTCCCTCGCCCACTGACAGGAAGCGTCATTCTTGCCCGGGGCGCTGAGAGCTGTGTTCCGGGGCCTTAATGGAGCCACCACTCTCTCCGCCCCTCAGACCTTGATCTTCATCTCCCAGCGAGGAGACCGCAGCCTGTGAGGAGGGTGCCCGCCCCGTGGTGGCTGGACCAGCCTTGCCCGCACCTTGCGACCCCTCCCCTGGCCGTGCTGGGGTTCGCAGCCTGTCGCCTCTCCCCCTCCGCCTCCCTCCCGATGAGCCCCTGGGAGGCCCCATATTCCTCTGGCCCAGCCTGGCCCTGTGGCCGTGGGCCCCCCACCTCGCCCCTCCCCCCCTGCTCCTCCGAACTGCCTGGTGGGAGGGCGTCCTCGCCGAGGCCCCGGTTGGTGTGGGGGCCCCAGGCAGGCTAGCCCTCTCTCTGGTTTCCAGGGACAGGGACAGCCATGGAGCCATGACTTGATGTAGGCCCTGGGCCCGGTGGCACTGGGCACCGTCTGCCCCGTGTCGCCCGGTGCCAGCTCCACACTCCCTTCCAGGGGGTGGGAGATCGGCGACACCCGCGCTCTGCCCCCCGGAAAGTGCTTGTAGCCCCGGCTCCTCTCTGGGTCACTGCTGACAGGGCGAGTGGCTGAGGTGGTGCTGGCCTGAGGTGGGCAGGGGGGCACCACGTCACCACGGCTCCACACGGGGATTGCGTGGCCGCCCCTCGGCCAGGACCCGGGTCTGACGAGCACCTCAGGTCACTGGACATGAGGAAGAGGCTGGGGAGGTGCACACAGCTCGCTCAGACCTGTGACCTGCCTCCCGCAGCGCAGGACAGGTGTGGGCAGATGTGCGGGCACGAGGGACCTTCCTCATCACCCAGGAGCCGGGCTTCCCACACTCAGAGGAAGGCCCGTGGGCGTTTGTGAAAGCGGGGTGTCTTTACTGCTTAGAAAGGGCAGCGATGTCGGGGAGCCAGTTTGGCCCCGAGTGCCGCCCCAATGTGGTATGGGGGTGCTCCCAGGCACCCCCCCATCTGTGGGCTGGGCACGGAGGGGCAGGAGTCACATGACGGGGGCCCCTGCACGGAGCTCCCAGACCCAAGAGCCTCAGTGGGTAGCCCCCCCCACACATCTGGGTCGTGTGGGGACCCCGTCAGCCACAGGGGGAGTATGTGTTGTCATGGCCGTGGCTGCTCTGGCTTAGGGGAGACCACTGGCCCCAGAGCGAGGAGCGGTAGGAGGTGAAGGTGTTCCGCGGAGCGGGGCCTGGGGGGGAGGGTCACAGCCCAGCCCGGCCACCTCTCGTGTGCCATCCTGTCCCATGTCCCCACAGCTGTTGAGGTCGGGCGCCGTGGGGCTCTGAGTGACCCGGCCCGTGGTCTCTGCCCGCAGTGCCTGGCCGCCGGCTCCATTATCATGAACCGCGAGCTGGAGAGCATGGCCATGCGCCCGCTGGCCAAGGAGCTGACCCGCAGCCTGGAGGACGTGCGGGGCGCCCTCCGCGATCAGGCGCTGCGGGACCTCAACACCTACACGGAGAAGATGAGGGAGGCGCTGAGGCACTTCGACGTCCTGTTCGCCGAGTTCGAGCTGAGGTGACCCTGAGGGGGAGGCCCCGGCCCCGCAGCGCGTCCCAGTATTCGAGCTGCACACGCCCATCGATGGCCGTCCAGGGCCGTCAGTCCACGTAGTTAGCCCTGGAGACCCAACCTTGGGGCCGCTGGGGGTCCGGCCCGCCCCCTCTGCCTCTCCCTGACGCACCCCAGTGCTGCAGACCCGGAGGTTCCACAAGTAGTGGTCACCCAGGGTGGGCGTGTCGCTGGGGCGCTGCTGTTCCCTCGGCCTCCAGCCTCACCTCCCGCCTCTGACCTCCCGCCCCTGACCTCCTGCCTCTGACCTCCCACCTCTGATCACCTCCCTTACCTCCTGCCCCTGACTTCCTGTCTCTGATCACCTGCTTCACTTTGAGCCTCTGACCTCACCTCTGCCCCCGCCCTGCCTCTTGACTCTGATCTCCCACCTCTAATCACCTGTCTCACTTCTCTGACCTCTCGCCTCTGACTCCTGACCTCTGACCTCATGCCTCTCTTCCCTCTTCTGACCTCTCCCCTTTGCCCCCACCCCCACCCCCACCTAGCCTCCTGGCTCTGACCTCTCCCCTCTGACCTCCTGCCTCACCTCCCCCAGTGCCTGGGCTCACCTCTCCCCCGGTGCCTGGACTCACCATATGGGGCTGTTGGTCGCCAGCTGCCCCCTCGTCCCATCAAACACCCCACAAACCCAGAGCGTCACCTCACTTCACCTCCATGAACTCGGATCCGGGACACAGCAGAGCAGGGGAGAGGTGGCCGTGGCTCCTGGGCCCCGGGGACGCTCCAGCTCCCTGGATGAGGGCGAGGGCACCTCCCCAGGTTAGGGGATCTGCGAGGATCACAGGGCGCCCCCCCCCCCAGCACCACCACCCACTGTGTGCTCCACCCGTCCCCTCCTGCCTGCTGTCGGGCCAGTGCCTGGAGACCCACTCCCCCCGGGGCCGCCCTCCCCTTCCCCGGAGGACACGGGCAGGGCTTCGGGGAGGCCCGGGGCCCCGGGAGTCAGGCACGCCGCCAGCTGCCACAGGCCCGGAGACGCTGGCGGTAGGCGAGGAAAAGTGGGACCCAAAATCCACGTCCGCAGTGGTCCCAGTTAGTGACAGCTGTCCCTCGTGTGACCCGACGACCTGGAGGAGACCAGCCCGGATGGTAGAGGCGGTTCTCAGGAGGTGGGGGCACACACGGCTGTTGTCCGCGCCCTCTCCTAAGTGAGCTTTTATAACAAGGAGGGATTAGAGCTCCTGACTCGGAAGGAGAGAGACACGTTCTCACCGGGGGACGGTGGGACGAAGGGTCACTTGCCCGTGAGGCCCCCGTGCCCACACCTCCCAGCGCCGGCCACCCCCACACGCGCATTCATTCTTGCACTCATTCTCACGCGCTCACTCGGGCCGGTGCCTGGAGGGATGTCGCAGAAGGGGGCGGTCAGGGCCCGGACGGGACGGGACGGGGCTGGGGGCCCAGGAGGCGCCGGGCCAGGCCTGACCTCACGGCCCTGCTGGGAGGCTGCAGAGGAAGCTGACATTCGAGGGGCCCTCGGGCGGGGGACACGCGGGGACGCCCGCCCTCACCTGCCCGCTGTGCTTGCAGCTACGTGTCTGCCATGGTGCCTGTGAAGTCGCCCAGGGAGTACTACGTGCAGCAGGAGGTCATCGTGCTGTTCTGCGAGACCGTGGAGAGGTGAGGCCGCTCCGCAGGGGAAGGAGGCCGGCGGGGAGCAGGGCCCTCAGGTCACCTTCCCCCAGCAGTGGGCGGACCTGGAGCCTCTCCCCCCCCAGCAGTGGGCGGACCTGGAGCCCCCCCCAGCAGTGGGTGGACCTGGAGCCTCTCCCCCCCCAGCAGTGGGTGGACCTGGAGCCTCCCCCCCCCAGCGGTGGGCGGACCTGGAGCTTCCCCTTCCCCAGCAGTGGGCGGACCTGGAGCCTCCCCCACCAGCAGTGGGCGGACCTGGAGCCCCCACCCAGCAGTGGGCGGACCTGGAGCCTCCCCCCCCCAGCAGTGGGCGGACCTGGAGCCCCCCCCAGCAGTGGGCGGACCTGGAGCCCCCCCCAGCAGTGGGTGGACCTGGAGCCTCTCCCCCCCCAGCAGTGGGTGGACGTGGAGCCTCCCCCCCAGCAGTGGGCGGACCTGGAGCCTCCCCCCCCAGCGGTGGGCGGACCTGGAGCCTCCCCCACCAGCAGTGGGCGG